TGAGGACGAGATCCCAACTTGAAAACGCCTGGTTCGGACCTTCTTGTCGAAGGCTGCTCGCATCTTTTGTTTGTATTCAACGGATTGCACCCAGGCTTCCTCTCGACCTTCTTCAATTAGGTTGAGAGCCTCTTCAATCATCTCTTCGTTCTTCTTTTCCTCGTAAAACGTTGATCTGTGGGAGTCCAGGCCGACTTCTACCGGCAGTAGTGCATCCATCCCATAAACCATGTGAAACGGATATTGTCCCGTCGAGCTCCTGGGAGTCATCCTATAAGCCCATAGGACTGTTGTCAACTCGTCGACCCAGGCTCCCGACGCTTTCTCCAGTCTTTTCTTCAACCCTTGGAGAATAGTTCGATTGGTTACCTCAACTTGCCCGTTTGCTTGTGGGTGTACGAGTGATGCAAATCGTTTCTTAATCCCATGTCGAGGCACCATGCTTGGATCCGTTTTCCTTGGAATTGCGTCCCGTTGTCTGAGATTAACACCTTTGGAATTCCAAATCGACAGCAGATATTGTTGAATAAGAACTGTATCATCTTTTCTTCAGTAATTCAAGCCAAGGGTTCCGCCTCGACCCACTTGCTAAAATAGTCGACTGCGACTACCAGGAATTTTCTTTGTCCTGTCCCCATCGGCAACGGGCCCACCAAGTCGATTCCCCATTGGGCGAAGGGAATTGTGGTGCTGATTGTCGTCATGTATTCGGCTGGAATATGGGTAACTTGGCCGTGTCGTTGGCACTTCTCGCATTCTCGCACAAGTTTTTCCGCCATCGTCCGCATCTTAGGCCAATAATATCCTGCTCGCAGTGCTTTACCCGTTAGGGCTCGAGATCCCACATGTGCTCCGCAACATCCTTCATGGATTTCTCTTAGAACATGAATTCCTTCTTCTTCGGAAACACACCGAAAATGAGGCCCAACTAGCGACATCTTGTATAGGATCCCGTCGACTTCGAAATACTTGCTTAAATATCGAGCCATCTTTTCCGCCTCTTGCTTGTCTCCTGCAGAGACTCGACCCTACAAGAGTTCGCGAATCGACTTTCTCCAATCATCCTTCTCGTCAACTTCCATGGCTTCGCTTAGAACACTGCCTTCCAGGTGCATTATAGTGATATGATTTCTCACTTTTCCTTCGTTCGAGCTTGCAATCCTTGCGATCCAGTCGGCTCGTTTGTTTTCTTCTCGTAGGACTTGTGTCAATTCGAACTTCTCCAGGCTTTGTATGAGGCTTTGGATCTCCTCGACATACTTCATCATTTTATCTTCCTTAACTTCACAATTTCCCAGCACTTGTCCGACGACGAGTTGCGAGTCGGAATATGCTGCGATCGATGTCGCTCCCCCACCGATTGTTAGTTGAATCCCTTTGATAAGTGCTTCATATTCGGCTTCATTGTTTGAGGCTTTGAACCCCATTCTAATGGCAAAGTCGAGTTGTTCGCCTTCGGGGGATACGAGGACGACTCCCAAACCGGATCCCTTGGCCGTAGAGGACCCGTTAACATGCATTATCCATTTCTTTTCCTCTCCTTTGGTGCCTTCTTGAATGAAATCCGCTAAAGCCTGGGCTTTAATGGCTCGCCTAGGCTCGTACTTGATAGAGTATTCGCTCAGCTCGACTGTCCACTTCACGAGTCGACCTGAGACAGTTGGTCGACCCATTGTTTCTCCCAACTGGAAGTTTGTTCTCACCACTATCGTATGATTCAGAAAATAAGGCCTCAGTTTTCTGGCCGTTATAACCAGTGTCAGGGCGACTTTCTCAACTTCGAGGTATCTCGTCTCTGCCCCTTGGAGTACTCGACTTGTATAGTAGATCGGCTGTTGGAAACTTCCATCTTCCCGCAGCAATACTGAACATAAATCAAACTCTCCTACCGAGATGTACAATATCAATTCGTCACTTAGTTTTGGCTTGATTACCAAGGGCAGCTCGCTCAGAAACTCCTTCAATGTTTCAAAGGCCATCTGCGCCTCGTCACTCCATTTGAAAACCGTTATCTTCTTGAGTAATTTGAAGAAAGGAAAACTCCTCTCGGCCGCTCAAGCAATGAATCTGCTCAAGCCTGCGATCCTTCCCGTCAGCACTTGTACTTCTCTGATAATTCGTGGTGGAGCCATGTCGAGTATGGCCTTCACCTTGTCTTGGTTCACTTCAATTCCTCGTTCTGTTACGACATAGCCTAGAAATCGTCCTGCCGTTACTCTAAAGGCGCATTTGCTCGGGTTCAACTTCATCCCAAACATCCTAAGGGTTTTGAATGTTTCCCTTAAGTCTTCTGGGTGTGAAGTCGAGGACTTGCTTTTCACCAAGATATCATCAACGTATACTTCCATATTTCGACCATGGAGTTTGAACATGCGATCCATCAACCGTTGGTAAGTTGTTCCTCTATTTTGGAGGCCAAAGGGCATGACGACAAAGCAATATGTCCCCTTGCTCGTCACGAAACTCACTTTACTTTGATCCTCCGGGGCCAAGGGGATTTGGTGGTATCCTTGAGATGCGTCCATCATGCTCAGCAATTCGCAGCCAGCTGTGGAGTCGACTAGCTGATCGATTCTAGGCAAAGGATAGTGATCTTTTGGGCACGCCAGGTTTAAGTCACGAAAGTCGATGCACATACGCCATTTGTTCAGTGCTTTCCTCACCATCACTGTGTTAGATATCCATTCGGGGAATTGGATTTCCTTGATGTGTTTGGCTTTTAGCAGCTTGTCCACATCGACTTCAATTGCTTTGTCGATTTCAGCGCCATGGTGCCTGAGTCGCTGCTTCACAGGCTTTCTGAGGGGGTCGACATTGAGCTTGTGCTCCATAACATCCGGGTCGATTCCCGTTAACTCCTCAGGAGAGAAAGCGAATATGTCCCTGAATTCCTTCAACAATCCCACTAACTGCTCTCGCAACTCGTCCTCTAACTCTCTGCCGACTTTGGTGGTTTGGTCCTCCGTTTCACCGATTTGAATTTCCATCAACTCTCCATGGGGCTCGAGGTCACTCCCCCTCGGCCTCTTTTCACTCGACATTAGTTTTTTGCCGTCCTTGACCTCAGCTCGTTGGTTAGTTTTGACCGCGATCTGGTAGCATGTTTTTGATAACTTCTGGTCCCCTCGAGCCTCTCCCACTCGATCTCCAACGGGAAACTTCAATTTCATGTGGTAAGTCGACACCACTGCTTGGAAGGCATTGAGCGCCGACCTCCCAAGGATCACGTTATACGCCGACTCGACGTCGACCACCACAAATGTAACACCCCGCTTATCAGAGTAAATTTTTCCCAACTTTTACTTCGAATATACTTAATTCTTTCGAAATCTTTTGCGACTAACTCGGAATGCTACTCAAACTCATCATCTTGAAAATCCGTTTATCTTTAAACTTTTGTCTAATACTTCTTTAGACATAATTAAAACAGATTTCCTTTAAACTTGCATTTTAAAATACCATAATCATATTTCTCATAATGGTAAAAACTTGTATCTAAAATTCATTAAAATGCAAATTCAATACTCAATGTGCATAGCGGAAATACTTAAAAACATGGTTAATTATACAGATTATTTTAAATGTCCATATCAAAGCTTGTCTTCATCTGAATCCACGATCCACACCAACACTGATCCACTCACACCTTCTCTTCAACCTGTTACCTGAAATTAAAACTCATGGGGGTGAGTAACGAATATGGATAATCATAAACCGAAATCTGATCGGTAACTTAAACTTAAACTTTCATTTTTCTGGCCGATGGTTAATCGGTTACGTGTGCACACTCTGATGGATATTTCTAAGGCCCGTTTCGCCTCCACCAGAACTTAGGATATAATCTTATGAGACAAATTAATGCCTCCTCATCCCAAGCGTAATAAACCTTAACTTCGGGATATAACTTTTGAGATAACTGATGGTCTCCTCATCCCAATCACATATCGTACTCAATGTGATACCCGTTCAGGGTCCCAACCTTTTTGTCGTTGAAATCATTTGAAAAACGATAAGTGCTGTACTGGTACTGTATCTGCAAGTTACATCAAATATAGACAAATATACTAAGTACTATGCTCGTATACTCAATAAGAATTTTAGGATTATTAACTTATCCAAATCTTATAGAAATTCATTAAACTTGCTTTTTCTCAAGTTTATACTTAACTTCTCTTTTTACTTTTACTTAATATCAATTACTTAACCTTATATAAATCATGTCTTCATACTAAAATACTGTCTTTTACTCGGATATAACTCAAAATGACTTGGACATGTAAAATAAGCTAAAATCACATGTTAACTAACCGAGTACATGAACTCTAATTGTGCTATCCTTTAACCAATTGAAACGAAACACTTAAGACTGAATTAACCTTTAAATGCTCGTTGGCGGGCGCACTGCTCATGCTATGTGCAGCCAACTCCTACGACCGGTGCCTATGGCCCGCCCGATAACTTATTCTTGTTATTATCCCTCAAATCAACATAATATGATTTGATAAACTTAAAATACAACAACTCGATATAATCCGATTGGATTATAAAATAACTCGAAAGTGAAAATATGTTAAAAATTTTATATTCTACTATACCAATCACTAAATCTCAAATTATGCTAAATCTTCATAAAATCATATTCATGATTAATAAAAATTTGTAATGAACTAAACTCGACTTTCACATGCATAGTTGAATTTCCTATCATTAAAATATCATATGATGACTAGATAAATAATCTGGACTTGTCTACCTCGATCAGGATACATAAATTCCGACAAAATCCTCCTCTTGATACTCACGGCACGCACGTTACGATTCTCTTCTCAGCTCAATATAGATATTTCTCAACTTATGTCTAATATGAGGAATGAAATTATATAAAAATTAAGCAAACAAAAGCAAAACTTCTCTCCACTCATATAATGCTGGGCTAAAGAAAAGAAATGAATATTGTGAAATAAGTTTAATTAAAATGAAGTACAATCACTTCCCGGCTTATGGCTAATAGGTGGAACGGATTTGGGAGTAATGAAAATAAACTTGCCTCCACAAAAATCTGATATTGTAGTTTTTATAGGCCAATATTATGATAAAATTGGAAAAAGTCGAAAGGACAACTGTCCATAATGTAATCGTAGCTGAGAATTAAAAATACTAACCAAGTGTCCCACTATTCAACCACTTAATCAAGTTAGGAAACTTCTAAGGAAATGATATAATATTCCCAACATGGCTAAAACATCATTTGAGTCTAGGATAATACATTGACACGGAAATAAATACACACGCTTACAATATCCACTCGGCTTTTCTCAATTTATCACTAAGTATGGATAAACTTATGACGTGTATGAAGTTAAATCACTTAAATTCTGGTGCTAAGACTTTTAAAGCGAGTGGACATAATGGAGATAGAAAATTTAACACTTAAACTATTTATTTAACGACACTTGTCATTAAAAGAAATGCTAATGGCAAAATAAAACTTAATCATCATATAACGTGCCCATGCATAAGATCTATATGATAATTTAATTAACTTAGTCTTAAAACCACACGCCACTCTCTCTACATAACACTAACACATGCCCCCTTAAGTGGCATTTAAAGGTGTTTAATAATCAAATAACGTCTCAACCTCTTAAAACATTTATCATACTAAATGATTGCCCACCATTATAAAATTTTCTCGGTTAAACTTATTCCATGAGAAGTTTACTTGATACAATTAGTCTTGGCATGATAAATTTCACGGCTTTTGATTAGGCGCGAGAAATTTTATTTGGCCGAGAGTAATTGATATGACTTAATTTCGATTATCTCGTCCACTTAAAATAATTAATTTCAACTTACTAATGTTCATTTATAAATAAACGAACTGGAATCAATTACTTAAAACTGGCTTGGTTTCTGAATAATTTTTTTTTTTTTTTTTAACTTCAACTTAAAGTTAAACTTTTAACTGAATAACTTAATAACTAGGCTCGTTAGGAACGAGCATTATTAATAAAAGTAATTAGTTCAAACTAAAATAATTACTTTTATTAATTACTGAAAGAGATATTACAACAAATCTCACCATTTTTACCTTTCTCAAGTTGCCCTCCCCCAGGACGACAACGAGTGTGGCTTCTCCTAGGGGAGCGACTTCCGATCCATTGAATCCAAAGAGTGATGTATGTAGAGACGTAAGTTCAATGTCAAGTTCCATCATTCAGAGGCATTCATAGAAAATCACGTTTACAGAACTTCTTGTATCGACAAACACCCTTTGCACCTCATACCCCGATATCTGTGCGGTTATCATCAGGGCATCATTGTGTGGTCTTTCGACTTCCCCCACGTCCGCAGGTCCAAAGTTCATCACTGGCCCACTCTCGTCGACCTGCTGCACCTCGACTTTTTCATATCGGCCTCGAGCATACGCCTTTCTTGCTCGATTGGAATCTCCATCTGTCGACCCTCCAAAAATCATAGTAATTACTCCCCTTTTCGGTGGGAGTTCCTCCTTCTCTGGTGACCTTGCTCTCTTCTGAGGGCTTTTACTTCTCTCCCTCCTTCTGCTCGACCTCTCTCGATCCTTGTATATGAATTCTTTCAGATGGCCCGCCTTTATCAATCTTTCGATCTCGTCTTTAAGGTGTCGACAATCGTCAGTGTTGTGCCCATAATCTTTGTGAAATCGACAATATAAGTTGCTTTTGGGCTTCACTGGTCCATCCTTTCTTGTCCGCGGCCATCTCACCACATCGTCATGGATCTCCCTTTCCATCACTTCTAGAATTCTCGCGTGAGGGGCCGACAGGGGTGTGTATTGAATCGGCCTCCATCCTCTAGATCGTCCTTCACCCCTGTCAACTCGCGGTGATCCTCTTTGTTCTCCTGTCGACTGACTCTTCTTCTCCTTCTTGTCATCTTGACCATCAGTCTGGGACATTTTCACGCTTTGCAAGTAGTCGGCTTCTACTTCCTCGACATTCATATACTTGGCACACCTCCCCAACACGTCATCGAAACTCCTACCAGGTCGCTTGGCCAAAGAGTTCTTACATAACCCTGGTAGTAGTCCCCTCGTTAGTCCTCTTGATTTAATTTCCTCTGTTGCCGTCGGGCACTCAACACACACCTTTGTAAACCTTGCCACATACTCTTGCAACGACTCACCCTTCTTCTGCTGCATGCTAATCAACGAGAGGTAGGACTTCTCTTGCACCCTTATACTTGCAAATTGATTAAGAAAACTCGAGCCGAATCTATCAAAGTCCTTAATCGACCCAGCTGGTAGTTGGTGAAACCAGTGTTGGGCCGACCCAGTCTTGGGCCGACCCTGTCAGAGTCGTCAAGAAAGCGAGACATTGCACCGGGTCACTGTAGCGGTGGAGCACCTCCATGTTCTCAAAACTCCTCAGATGTCGAGACGGGTCAGTGGAGCCATCGTACCATATGTTCAACTCCCTGAAGCCTTTGGGTAAGTCAGCTCTCAAGATTTGCTGTGAGAATGGATGTTCTTTAGCTCCTCTGCTCTTGCTCCCTCCAACTCAAGCCTGCAAGTCTCGGACCTGGGCCAGCAACTGTTCCAGCGTCTCGTCCCTCGCTTGCGGATTGATAGTTCGAATGGAGGATTCCTCCTCGTCCACCCTTCTGTTCTGCTGTACGTTTGACTGAGCTTGTTGTTCAACACGAGGTTGTTGCTCGACCCGAGGCTGGTACTCAACACGAGGCTGCTGCTCGACCTGCGCCACCTTCTTCATCTGGCGGCCACAGCTTCAGCGATCATCTTTTGCATTTCGCTCTTCGTCATTGTCAAGGTCTGTTCCTCGACGCGGGGTTGTGTCTGCTCCGGTACCTCTTGTATCTGCTTTCCCTCGTGTCGACACATCTCTGTTGGTTCCTTCTCTCCATCTGGGTTAGGGTTTTGACTTGTTTCTACCTAGGTCAACACTTGCATCTTTACTCGGGTTGGAGTGACGGGAGATTCTCCACCCAGCGTCAGCCCCGGTGGTGGAGGTCCTCCAAATGGTGGCATTCCCAGCATCTGCATCACTGGGTGTCTAGGGGTAGAAAGTGGTGGTGGCCTCTTGTCCGTCCACGCTCCCCTAAACTCCTCGTTCTGATTCCTCTGCAAACCCTCCTTCACCGCCATCAGCAAACAGATCGGAGCTAGGTGTGAAGCTCTTACTTCCTTTAAGAACTCCCCACAGACAGCACCAATATGATGAGTCTACTTCTAGATCTGAAGAGAATCGGTGGATTTGAGCACAGATCTGCTTGAACCGCCTCTGAATCGTCGCTAGACCGCGAGAATACCTACAAAAATTCCACGCCGGAGGTGTTTCCGGCGTAGAGCCTCCGACGCTCAAGTCAGTATGAGAGTGATGAAGGGATGTTGCGCAGCAGCTATGAGGGGAATGTGGAATGAATGAGAGTTAGGTCTTAGGTTTACCTCACCTCCTTTATATAGGAGTGAACACTTACTTAAAGTACCTGAAATGTCCCGGTCGGTTGACCTGTAAGGTCTAAATTGCCCTGGTCGATTCATCTCCCCTTGCTGCTGAGTCATCACCAGATTCCTTCTTATCCATTAATGGTCAAGAGGTTCCAAGAAATATACCAAGTGTAAGGAGTCGTCGGAATGCCTCTCGTCTCGAGGTACAAGGTGTCGACCTCGAGTATAAACGAGTCAACCCAGGATCTCTTGGTTATTCGGAGGCTACGCTCGTGTTGGCTCTCAGATAGGTGTCAACTTTCGGGAAGTCGACTGGACGATGTCGACTTCCGAGAGTCGACTTGTAGGGCAGCTGCCACTTCTCGTTATCGACCTTGTTAAGAGTCGACCTAGAGGAATCGACTCCAACGTGTCGACGGGTCCGTGTCGACATGACGAATCGGTTTGAGCCATTATCCGGTCGAGTAGGGAGCCTTTGGGCCAGCATATCTTTATATGGCTATATCACTTGTGTTTCCACAGAATCTTGAAATGTGATGCATTCTTGATGTTTTTTGATAAGTTCAGCAGACATGTCTGCAGATTTGAATACTTCTCTCGTGATTGAGATATAAAGGTTTGATATACTCATTCGTTTAAAAATCCAAGCAAACCATGAAAAAAATATTAAAATTCAATAGACCTATGGGCTTATTATGAAGTTTCAATTCTGCCCAAGAAGCAATGGTAAACATTGTCATTAGAGTTCCATAACCACCTGTAAGAATGATAAAAGCATTGCTATTATTCACCATATCCATCATATAGTCATAAATAGAATGAGTTAGCATCAAGCTTGTGGAATCCTTGATGACCCTTGTTGAAGCTCTATGAAAAGGTATGATACTTTTCACTTCTATATCAAAACATGTCCAGCCATTAACAAATTATTAAAAAAAGTGATACTAGTCCCTCTATACAGTAAATTGATTTTTTGTTTCCCCAACTCCCTTACTAATTGATTTACACTATCAATATTTTGAGAAAATCTTACCAGTTTAGAACCGCCAAGAACACACATGGTTTTGATCCGTTGAAGAAATTTTTACCCTGCGAAAACTCTGAAATATCCATCTATTTATTGATAAACTAAATTTTTATAAATTCTGTGAGATATATGATTATGATGAATGACTCGCTATTTAAAGGAAAGGTTCGCCAAACGATAAATAATTTTACTGTTCTCTTCTGACAGTTGCAATCGACAGATAAGGGGTGAGGTTTAAAATGAATCTTATCTGTCGGGAGCAATAAGATTTTTCTGTACTAACAATAACAATTTTTACAAACTTGATCGTTTGAAACAAGATCTTCGAGACTACAACGTTCTTCTTCATTTTTTAACTTGATTCATAAAGACATAAGCTCACTATGCACATAAACACTAGGATGTGTCTCAAGAATCTATTGAATTATTTGATCCATAGACTCCTTACTCAATCCATCCTCTATAAATACTATTCTATCGTCTCAATTTTTGGACACGAACCCCACATATTTACATCGTGTGTCACAAGTCCATCGAGCGCATTTGAAACACCCACCTACTCTTTTTGCTCTTCGTTTCTTTGCAAAAGTACTCTTACCCATACCTGATATATATTTATATGAATTTGGAAACTCTCCAGACAATCAAACTTTTGCTTCAATCAACCACTGAATATCAATTGGAATATCATTAATCATTAGCACCCTCAATCATTCTAACCGAGATCGATAAATCAATTTTATGATATTTAATGGAAGAAATAAATAATATTTGCGGATATTTGTGAATGCTAAATCTATTTGTAAATTCGGACCATTGTTAAAGAAGATTGAATGAATTACCTGATAATTTATAGAAAAAAAAATGATGCATATGCGATATGACTCTAAATATAAATAGTGTTTAAAAGTCTGTGTGTCAGAAGGCATGACGCGCATGTGATAAGATTCTAGATTTAAATAGTGACTAAAAGATTGTGTGTCAGAATCTGCACTTAGAGTGCATTTATTGCGGCCGAAAGATGGTGTGATATGTTTGTGAAATATATGTTAAAAATAAACTTGTCATAACGAATTATTGTGATCACTTTAAAAATTTTTAACGATATCAATGATGATGGTTTGCATGATTAATTTATTCTTTGTGATATGAGATTTTTTGTTCTCGATTGATAAAAATTATTACTAGCTAAATATTTGAATCGATTTTGATGAATCTGAGTATGAAAGGGGGTATGATATATATGGGTCCACTACCGCTCCATGTGAGCTACTAGATATTATGGATCCACTAGATAGCCACATGTGTATGTGATTCGTAACCTGGAGTTACGAGATGGTTTGATTAATGAATGTAACGAAACCTGAAGTTACCATAATGGTTAGATAAAAGATGACACAAGATGATTATGAAAGAATGAAAACAAGTGTCATATGAAAGTGATAAAGCTAGTAATATACCCAAGTGATATGATGAACTCTTGAAAGAAAAATGTGCACATTACAAGTGATTTGAGTTCAAAGTCTTCCTATTATATGTTGAAATCAAGAATTGAATGAAGACTATATGAACTCCCTCAATAAATTCAATACTGTAAATACATATCATGACTATGAGAAAAGAGATCTGTTAAGATGAGGGGTAGAATCAAGAAGTGAAATTTGTAAATGGTATATGCATCACAATGAAAGTGTGCAAATCATAAATTGAATGATACTGATGGTGGTGAAATACATGAAATGATATTATTGTGGAATAGTACGCTGGAAGCATTGGTATTGTACAAATTGAAATTTTCCAAAATTTATAGATGATGAAAGGAGGCATATACTATTAATGAAAAATATGAAAACATGACAAGTATATACAACCAACTGAAGTTGAGATATCTCAATATATTACGGGGAATAATGGAAATGAATAAGTGTCGACATAAACAAATGAATAGAGCTATAAATGATATTGACGAGAATGAAATCAACTGTAATGCGAATATTGAAAACTATTGGAAATGAGACCATTGAAATGAATTGATTATGAGAATGAGTTTAAGACTAAAAGTTGCACAAAACATGATATGATATATTATCATGAATACCATCAGTATCTGAAAATGTGAATGAATAAATCTATACGATACTCATACAAATTATGAGAAGATTGTTATGATGAATATATGAAATATGCGTTGTATTCTTTTTCCGTTGACTGAGTTTTTGTCACATTCGGTTTTCCCAGCAACATTTTTAATGAGGCAACGATGATGGCGTATTCACATGAATAGTATACTCTTTTACCTTCATTAGGATTTTGTCTCACTGAGTTTTTCTTAATAAGGTTTTAAGGAGACATATTCATGGTATAATGAGGACTACTGGATAATTGATATAATTCCTCATGATGATAAGAAGACACTGGGGTAGATGTACTCTTTTTTCTTCGATCAAGTTTTTTCCCACTGGGTTTTCTTGACAAGGTTTTAACGAGGCAGCACATGGATACTCCATTAAAGAAGATCTATTTGAGAAGGAGCAATGTTGTGTTTCCACAATAATAAGGTTTTGTCCCATCGGGTTTTCCTGACATGCTGACGTAGCGGTATCTGATGGCCACAAGATACACTTCAAGATATTCCGATTGGGCTTTGTTCAAATCACTTAAAATATGTTTAAAAAATAGTCAATCAGGGGGGAGTGTTATAAAATATTTAGTGGGTGTTATAATATATTTAGTGTTTAGGAAAATTATTGATAGTTGTTAGAAATTTAATAAAATAATTTATGTGAATGAGTATTTTGCCCTCGATGTATTTGTATTATTACAAGTTGTGCCATCAGAAGTTATCTATAAATAGGAACTTCAGTTATAATATAAAAATTATATCAAAAGAATACATTCTTTTTATTCTCTCTCTTTTTTAGTTTCTCAAAACGATAAAATTTTTATATATATAACACATATAATTACAATTAGAAGACAACCAAATGCCGAATCTAGTGAGAGAACACCCCAGAGAGAGCCTAAACACTACAACACACCCACAATAATAAACCTAACTCCCAGGAAAATCTAGATTCCAAAAGGATAATAACATTACTCCCAACAGGAGAATCTAGATCCCAAAGGGATAATAACACAAGCGAAAGAAAAAAAACACAAAGCGTTTTCTCTCTAGTTTCTATAACATATATTTTATATATCGTCTTCAAACAAATCCTAAATGCACAAAGCGTTCATACTAGGGAATTATTGCTTATTTCATTATATTTGATCTCTTCTTCTTCTTCAATGAAATTTTAAATGAAAAATAAGATTAATATTTACTTCAACCGTGAAGTATAAGATGTCTGAAAGGTATTCTAAATCTAGAAAAACTTCTAAACATTCTTCATGCCATATGAAACTTATTTTTATTTATTCAATCAATGAACATTTGAAAATGCTCTTGCACCTTTACTCCTTCGTTTTCCTTACCTATTCATACATTAGCTTATCTGGGAGTCGTTTCTCCTATTTTGCCGTTGATACTAAATATATGTAAATATGTAATATATTACAGGTGATTTTATGCAATCTGAAAGCTTACAAAGATATTGATACTTTTTAGGTTAAAAATCTTTTTACCATCCGAACTATCACGATTTTGGCGCTTTACCATATAAACTTTTTATTTTGGCAAACCACCATCTGAACTACTCGAGTTTGTCAAATTGCTCACTATACCAGGTTTAAGCCCGGTTCACCTCATTGAAACTGGTTTTTTTAGGGTATTTTAGGAATTTCAAGTATTTTAAAAAAAAAAAAAACTGAAGATAACAAACGTCGAGAACGTTGCACCCCATCTCTGTCTACTGCCTTTGGACTCTAATTTCGGGCTCAAGTGTGAGCTCGAGCCCGACAAGAATTACCTCGAGCACAATTTTTCCGACCAAACGAATCTATCGCCGTCGTCAAGGCCGACGAGGAGGTCGAGGTTACAGAGGACGTCTTCATCCATAGTGACGATAAAGAAGCCGAGGCGTGTGAGAGAAAGGCCATTGCCGGTGATGGTGTTCTTGCCGCCTTTGCTGGAGGTGATGACCACGACGCGTGGGGTCTCGCCGAAGTGCTGCGGCTTGCAGATGTGCTGCTAGGGTTTTGGGTTGTGCTAGAGGAGGGCTCGAATTGAGGCAGCGGCGGCTAGGATTTTGGTCGACATCTAGAGGGTTTTTTAGGGTTGAGGTGCGGCGGCGACGGCTAGAGTTTTTGTCGGCCTCCTGATGGATTTTTTAGGGGCTGAGTGATGCGGATGTGGCGAGGCAACTCAAGAACGCATCGAGCCACGCCTACCATGCATGCAAGAGGCTAGAGCAACGCACGGGCGAGACGCAGACCATCGAGGCTGACGCGTGCGGGGCGTGCGAAGTTGGCGTACGGGTACCGACAGGCGATGGCGCGCGGGCGGGATGCACAGGCAACGGGGGTTGACGCGCGCGCGACAGGCGCATCGGGCAGAAGCACGAAGGGCGCGACAGGTGAAGGGGACGCGATGAGTGCCGGGAACGCGCACGAAGAAGTCGCGAGGAGCGCGGGCGCGCGCTATGCGCTGGGCGGATGTGCACGCGCGGGAGAAGGCGGTGCGACCCTAGTTCTCGAGGACTAAGGCAAGGCGCGCGGGAGCTAGAAGTCCGAAGCAGCTTGCTCCCTACTTGGAGTACAAGACAAGATCACTTAGGATCCTTTAGATATTTAGTTTCCTTCTTTTCATAAGATTTCTAGATTGTTTAGGATACTTAATATTTTATTGCTTTATTAGAGTTATAGTTAGATTAGGACTAGATCTATTTGATGCCTATATAAAGGCCATTCCTCTTGTTATTTTTAATAATTGGAGATCATAATAAAAACCGAACTTTTGTTCAAAAACTTTGCCTTAGATTTCTTCTTGATTTCTTTTGCAATTTTATTTCGTTTCGAGGGGCGCGGGTGTGTGAACCTCCGAGACACCTATCGTCGGTTCAAGGCACGAGTGTGTGGCTTATCGGCAATCGGGACACGCGATCTTCATCATTGGTGCTTTCATTGAATGTATCTAGATCGTGTGTCTTTTTCTTTACTATTCTTTTTCTTTCCCCAAAAAAAAAAAAAAGAAAAAAATATCCTCAAAACGAGTCCTCGAAGCAAGGAGCGAAAGCAAGAACATAAAGCCATGGCCAACAAGGAGATGAAGGACAAGATCGATAATCTAGTCGTTCAAGTTCGAAGCATGAGCGAAGCCATGGATACCCTAGGCGAGGGGCTCGACACAACCAAGGCATCGGTTCGTGATTTGATGGAGAGCATGAACCGAAGGTTCGATAAGATGGCTCGCAATTTCTAACACCAAGCGCGACCACCACCGCAGCAACCGAGGCGCGAACAGCCCGAGGGGGAAGAGCAGCGGCGCGACGAGTATGAGCGAGAGGAGGACTTCGAGCAGCGGTCACAAGCGTCCAATATGCACGATCGCCCAAGGCTCGACAAACCAAGGCTCACGCTATCCATTTTCACCGGCACCGACCCCGAGGCATGGCTCAACCGGGCCGTGAAATACTTTGAACTCAACGAAATCGTGGATAATGACCGTGCGCGATATGCAGCTTATTACCTAGACGGCGAGGCCAACGTGTGGTGGCAATGGCTCACGAGTGTTAACCGTAACCGACAACGGGTCATCAGGTGGGACGACTTCGAACGCGAGTTACTCACGCGTTTCGGGACATTCGACTACCACAACTATGACGAAGAACTCTCACGCATACGACAGTCTGGCAGCTTGCGCGACTACCTAAAGGAGTTCGAAAGATTAGCATGTCGCGTACGGGGCTGGCTCGAGACCGCATTGGTCGGGGCATTCATTGGCGGCCTAAAATTCGACTTAGCAGCAGAAGTTCGTCTGGAGCGGCCTGAGTCAATGCATGCGGCCATGGAGGTTGCTCGATGCCAAGACGACCACCTCGCCGCTACTCGAAGGGGACGGGCGGACGCGCGTTTTCCTGAGCCGTGACGCGCAAGCAACACCATACCGAGCATTCGGCCTAACACTCGGCCGCCGATGCCAAAAGTCAAGTTGTCGCTCGAGGAGATGAGGCACGGACGTGAGAAAGGGCTTTGTTTCTAGTGCGAAGAGAAGTTCACACTGGGCCACCGATGTAAGCAGGCGTTTGTGATCGACGTCATCGACTCGGATGAAGAGGAGCCCGAGATTGAAGAAAGCGAAGTTTAGGTTGAGGTGCTCGAGGAAGAAGCAGAGATCTCAATGCACGCAATGGCTGGCACTCGAGGGCCGAGAACAATGCGACTACCGGCATGGGTCAAGGATTGGCGAGTGGTCGTACTCGTGGACAATGGGTCATCACACAACTTCATCAACACCACGTTGTCCCAAAAATTAAAGTTGCCAACAACGACGATAGAGCCATTCGAGGTCTGGGTAGCCAATGGTGAGCGGTTAAGGTGCACCGAGTCTTATCACAGGGTGCCCATCAAATTCCAAGGGGTCACCATTAATGTCGATCTCTACGCACTACCTTTGGTTGGACCCGACGTTGTGTTAGCAGTCCAATGGCCCGAGGGATTGGGAGAAGTAACAACCAACTACTGAACCGGGGTCATGAAGTTCAAAGCAGGAGAGCAACAAGTCACATTGAAGGCTAGCGAGAACAGTGGGACCAAGGATGTTGGTCTCAAAAGCATAGAGCGGGTTTGGCGCGGGGGCGGCCAAATCTTTACCGTTGTGGTCGAAAACACGAGCGCACACACAACCGAGGTCGAGCACCAGCAGGACGAGATGCGTGGGTTACTCGAGGAGTTCGGCCGTGTGTTGAGCGAGCCTAAGGGTCTACCACCACACCGGGAGTTCGACCACCGCATACCCTTGACCAATGAGCAGCACGTCCATCCATATTGATACGCACACTTCCAGAAGACAGAGATAGAAAGGCAAGTTGGTGAGATGCTCCAGTTTGGGCTCATCCAACATAGCTCAAGCCCTTTCTCATCACCGGTACTACTAGCAAAGAAGAAAGATGGCACGTGGAGGTTCTGCACCGACTATCGAGCATTGAATGCCGCGACAATGAAGGACCGCTTTCCCATATGAAGTGTCGACGACATGCTTGATGAGTTAGGAGGGTCACGCTACTTCTCTAAACTTGACCTTAGGGTCGGGTACCATCAGATTCGACTACACAAGGCTGACATTCCAAAGACAGCCTTTCGCACGCACCAAGGGCACTACGAGTATTTGGTGATGCCATTTCGGCTGTGCAATGCCCCATCCACCTTTCAGTTTACCATGAATTCCATCTTCAAGAACCATTTGCGCAAGTTCGTCTTAGTAATCTTCGACGACATCCTGGTCTACTCAAAGACATGAGCCGAGCATATTGGGCACTTACATGTGGTACTCGAAATCCTGGAAGCCAACTCATTCCACATCAAGCCATCCAAGTGCTCGTTTGGGCAAGAGATGGTTGAATATCTTGGTCACTTTATCTCTCATGATGGCGTAAAAGTTGACCCAAGGAAGATTGAGGCTATGGTTGACTGGCCCAAGCCGACAAGCCTAACGCAGCTATGCGGATTCCTAGGGCTCACGGGCTACTACCGGAAGTTCGTGAAGGACTACGGGACCATTGCCAAGCCATTAACCGAGATGACCAAGAAAGGAGGGTTCAAGTGGACCGAAGCTAGCGAGATCGCATTTGAGAAGCTTAAGGGCGCAATGACCACGACGCCCGTGCTAGCAATGCCAAGGTTCGATGTTTTGTTCGAGGTACACACGGACGCAAGCGACATAGGGATTGGTGCGGTACTAGTACATGAAGGACGTCTTGACCTTTCTCAGCAAGGCGCTAGGCACGACCCGACTGGGGCTGTCCGTGTACGTGAAGGAGATGCTTCCGGTCGTAGAGGCTGTGCGAATCTGGAGGCCCTATCTACTGGGGCGGCGCTTTCGGATTGTGACCGACCAACAGCCGCTCAAGCACTTGCTCGAGCAAAGGATAGTGACGCCCGAACAACAGAAGTTTGTCTCGAAGCTCATGGGTTTCGACTTCAAGATAGTGTACCGGCCGGGTCGACAAAATGCCGTGGCTGACGCTCTATCAAGACGGACGGACGTCGTCGAGCTCGAAGCAATAACCGGGACCACATGGACTGTATGGGAGGAAGTTAAGAAGGCGCAAGAGGACAACTCTCAATGCCAAGACTTGCGCCGAGGGGTTGAGGCAGGCGACACCGCCGTTGCCGACTATGAGCAGCACAACGGCCTGTTACTCCACCGAGGCCGAGTGTTTGTGCCCAACAGTGGGCAACTCCGCGAGAGGATTATGCAGCACTTCCATGACTCCAAGATTGGAGGGCACTCGGGTTTCTATTGCACATGGATGAGGATGACCAATACCTTCTTTTGGCCGGGGCAGCAGGGCGCGGTCTGGGAGTATGTCGCGCTGCAACGAGTGCCAACACACTAAGGCCGACGCACAGCGACCGGGCAGATTATTGCAACCCTTTTCGGTGCCCGAGAGGATCTGGAAAGAAATGTCTATAGAATTCATCGAAGGGCTGCCGATCTCTAATGGGTTCAATGGAGTCATGGTCGTGGTGGATCGACTTACGAAGTATGCACATTTCATACCCATTACGCATCCCTACACGGAGAAATCCATCGCCAAGTTATTCATCGAGTACGTTATAAAGTTGCACGGGGTGCCGCGCTCGATCGTCTCCGACCGCGACCGGATCTTTTTGAGTAGCTTTTGGTCTGAATTCTTCAAACTACAAGGGACCCAGAGCTATCAATGAGTTCATCCTACCACCCGCAGATGGATGGGCAAACCGAGGTGACCAACCGCACGCTGGAGCAGTACTTACAGTGCTACGTGCATCAATTTCCGAAGAAGTGGGAGAATTTTCTACCATGGGCTGAATATTGGTACAATACCACTTACCACAGCTCGACCAAGACTACGCCATTCGAGCTTGTGTACGAGCGCAAATCGCCTACGCTCGTGAGTTATTCGGATGGAGGTGCGACCAACGATGAAGTCGGTCGAGAACTTGAGGAGCGAGATTCGATGTTGCGTGAATTGAAGTAAGTTCTAGAAGGCTCGATTAACCGCATGAAGACCTTTCATGACGGCAAGAGGTGCGAGGAAAGTTTCGAGCCAGGCGACTATGTCTACTTGAAGCTACGACCATTTAGACAACGCACGACTGCGCAAAGGGCCGCGACTAAGCAAGGGGTGCGCTATTACGGGCCATATCAGGTTTTGAAGCGCATAGGACAAGTAGCTTATCGCCTAGAGCTGCCAGAGAGTTCGCATATACATCCGATTATACATGTCTCGCAACTCAAGAGGAGTTTGGGTGAAGCGCACAAGTGGTGCGAAGAGCTGCCAGCAACAACGACTGATGGACGGGTCATTGTGAGGCCAAGTCGCGCGATCGAGTATCGCCAAGTGAGGAAAGCTGGACGCTATAGTTGGGAGGTACTAGTCGAGTGGGAGGAGTTGCCATCAGAGGAAGCCACTTGGGAAGAGCTAGATGAGATGCGCGACCAATTCTCAGGTTTCGTTCTTGAGGACAAGAAACACTTGAAGGGGATGGGATTGATGCGGATGTGGCGAGGCAACTCAAGAATGCATCGAGCCGCGCCTACCATGCACGCAAGAGGCTAGCGCAATGCACGGGCGAGACGCATGCCATCAAGGCTGACGCGTGCGGGGCGTGCGAAGTTGGCGTACGGGTACCGACAGGCGATGGCGCGCGGGCGGGATGCGCAGGCAACGGGGGTTGACGCGCGCGCGACAAGCTCATCAGGCAGAAGCACGAAGGGCGCCGCAGGTGACGGGGACGCGGCGAGTGCCGGGAACGCGCACGAAGAAGTCGCGAGGAGCGCGGGCGCGCGCGATGCGCCGGGAGGATGTGCACGCGCCGGAGAAGGCGGTGCGACCCTAGTCCTCGAGGACTAAGGCAAGGCGCGCGGGCGCTAGAAGTCCGAGGCGGCTAGGGCTCCCTACTTGGAGTACAGGACAAGATCACTTAGGATCCTTTAGATATTTAGTTTCCTTCTTTTCTTAAGATTTCTAGATTGTTTAAGATACTTAATATTTTATTGCTTTATTAGAGTTATAGTTAGATTAGAACTAGATCTATTTGATGCCTATATAAAGGCCCTTCCTCTTGTTATTTTTAATAATTTGAGATCATAATAAAAACCGAACTGTTGTTCAAAAATTTTGCCTTAGATTTCTTCTTGATTTCTTTTGCAATTTTATTTCGTTTCGAGGGGCGCGAGATTGTGAACCTCCGAGACACCTATCGTCGGTTCAAGGCACGAGTGTGTGGCTTATCGGCAATCGGGACACGCGATCTTCATCACTGAGGTGCGGCGGCGTATGGTTTTGGGTTGTGTTGGCTGAGCTACGGTGGCGAAGTTTTGCAATGGTGTTGAGGCCTAGTCGACACCGGTGGGTTTCAGGCGGCGTGTTTCAGGCTGGGTACAAATTTTCTTAATTTGTTTTAAAAAAATAAAAATGAATAAAAAATGGGTTAGTAGTTGAGAATTGACAAAGAAGAGGGGTTAACTTGTTATATTTGAATAGTTTATAAATTATGATTTTGTCCTTTGGGTACTTTTGCAATATTTTTAAAATTTGTAATCCCAAAATATCCTTATAAATCAGCTTATTTGTTACAAAACCACTTTAAATACGGTTTGGAGGGCAAAGTAAAACAAACGTTTAGTTTATACTTTATATAGTTGTTTGCCAAAAAGAAAAAGTTCATATGATAAAGCGCCAAAACCGTGATAGTTCGGATGGCAAAAAGTTTTTTACCCTACTTTTTAAGTAGTAGAGGTAGAGATAGAGATAGAGATGGTGATCTAAGACGTAAGCATTGTCTAGTAATATTATAGATTGGTGTCTCCGAACGCACCAAACCATCCTTCTATGCATAACAAAAATACAGATTATCTTCATTTCAGCTATCACTCAAAATCTCCTCAAGACAGACTATTTCATCCACAAAATGTATCTTCCATGAACATTGATTTTAACAATATCAGATTATCTTCCTTTCAGCTATCACTCAGAATCTCCTCAAGACTCACACTATTTCATCCACAAAAATGTATCTTCAATGAACATTGATTTCCATATACCGTGCGCACAAAATTCAGTCGACAGGTAAAATGCTGAGGATTAGCTTCCTCCTTTGTTTGCAGCTTTCTTGGTTTTCTTCTGCTTCTGCTTGAGCTGAGTGAGGCCTGCGGCCGAGACTTTCACATTGCTGATTATGGCGGCAACGAGTTCAGAATCCGTGCAAGCCTTCATTAATTCCTTCTCTCTCATTGTTGCCTCAGCCGTATGACTGAACAAATTCATGGCCGTCTTGGCCGCTGCACAGAAAAAATAAAATAAAAACAAAAATAGATGATTACTCGAACACGAAATTATAATGGGTGATGTAACTTGTATTAATTTATCCTATTCTTTCTGACAGAAGAAAAAAGAAGAGGAAAATAAAATGGCTCTTCATACAGAATTGATGCTGAAAGCAAAATGTTTACACACAGCAGATGGATTATGAATAATCGAGAATTTTACTCATTAAAAACAAAAAGGGACCACTATAAACAACCTGGAAGTTTAACCTAATTACACAAAAATCGATAATATTTTGAAGTAGAAAGATACCAAAGTGCAGTCTGTGCTTGGATTTTCAAATACCAAACCCCATATGCTAAGGGACATTTGTAAATTTGAGAGTTCTGTTTTTCTTTTTCAGATAGTTATATTAAATATCAGAATTATTACACGCGTTTATCAAAATGAAAAAAGGGAACAAAAAGTTCCAGATACAAATGTGTACCTTTTCCTTTCTTTAAGGTGCCAGGGATTATCTTCACACGGTATTTATATGATTGTAAAGCATTGTAAGGACCACAGACAGGCACAGCATACAATAAGACGTCATTCGGTAGAGGATTTCCAGTCAGGTAGTCCACATCATTCAGTTTCTCTCTTTCTTCTTCTCCAATCTCGTGAATATCATCTTCCTCCATGGTCACTCTGTCCACCTCACCACCTGCTTTAGTGCTTGGAAGAGTTGCATCCGGATGTTCGGGACAGTCTCGAGACATATGGCCTGCTTTCTTACATTTGTAACATATCTTTGAATCATCAGCAACAGGTTCTGCAAAATAAATGGAGGAAATTGTTTTGAGTACCAAAATGCCACAGGATACCTCCTCAAAGTCAACTCGGAAATGTTGGAATCATGCATTAGAATTGTTAGAAGAAATTGCAAACTAATGACAAGAAGTCTACCAAAGTTAACCGGAAGTTCTGTATAATTGCAAACTAGTGATATCAACATTGAACTTTGGTGCCATATACTTCACACTTTCGGTATGATATAGTTAATAAAAGCAAAAGCAGCTTATGCTGTGTTTGGCAAAGATGATCCTCAAATATCTTACTTTCATGCTAAGATACCTTAACCTATCAAGTTTTTCAAATTTTATCATGTGCATCAGCTAAGAACTTGTATAAAGTCATTGTTTACTTGTTTTAACTGGTGGACAACAATTTGTTTGTATCTGTCTTTATAATTCCATCTCCATACAAATACAAAATAAAAACAATGGAGAGGAGAAGGAACCCAAAAAAAAAAAATAAGTAAATAAAGGCATGGAGTATTAAGATCATGTACCAGGTAATGATGTCATCAGGAAGTGAAAGGAAACAAATCTTTAAACCATTATACGAAGAATAGTGGAAATTTTACCTGTAGCAGGTTTGGGTCCTCTTTCTGAAGTGACCTTTTCAATCTCACTCTTCTCAGTTTTCTTCTTTGATTTTCCAGCGGCCTGGAGTTTAATTCAAAACCAATAAAAACAGTGTTCTACGAGGGAATACCATTTATGGCAGTTTTTCCTTTTTTTTTTCTTTTTTTTTNCTTTTCCCATGGATTTACAGTTCAGGTTCCTTGTCCATCGGTATAACTCCTAAACCAGTTTCCATGAATAGGAGCAGTTTCATAACAATAATCGGCAGACATTTATATATATATATATATAGTTATAAAAGGAGTGAAGCAAAACCTTCTATGTTAAGGGGAGAAGAAAAGAAACAAAGATATTGATGGATAATATTATATATCATAAGCAACTTAAGATTAAGATTGGATGGCAACACTTACTGCCAACAGGGCCATTCTAATGCTCCGTTCCTCTTCATCCTGATCAGCATACTTTTCCTTTATCTTCTTCAATTTCCCCCTCTGTCCACGGCTAGGTTTTCCACCACTTGGCTTTGGATTCTTACTATCATTCTCAGCCTGGCTTACGCATTTTTTATGTTCTTCTTTTTGCTTATCAATTGCAGCGGATGAACTTGCAGCGTCATCTTTTGGACCTTTCTTAAGATTTCTCCTTTCAGCTTTGGAGATATAAGGTTTATCTCTCTGCACTGCATTTTCAAGGTTGTGTTCCTCCACTAATTCCTCTTTCGAATACTGGAGTCCATATTTCTTAACAGACGCAGTAGCAGGTCCAAGCTCGAGAGCTCGATCCATTAAATCCTCTAAATCTGAGGTAATAGCAGATGTTTTGCTAGAAGACTCAAGTTCCTCATCATTAGAAATATGATTCGCTGAAGTAGAAGTTTCATCAGCCACGTCAAGCTTAACAGGCACATCAAAACCATTCAAGTCACTGGACTGAACCACTGGAGACAAATCCACAAGGTTCGATGAGTCTGATGTGGCCTTTGCACCAAATAGTTCCTTCTCTGAATCAGAACCTGAGTCGGATATCTCTTGGAAAGGCTCACTTTGCTCGGTGTCATTTAATCCTTCCTCTTCTCCTCTTACTCTCCTTTCATTCAGATGAGATCCTAGAGAACTCTCATCCAGGCGAAACAATATCCCGAAGCCCATAATAAGAGGGTGTGGTGGTAGAAAATTCTTTTTACCTCGAATCATAAAGCTCCCAACAGTAAGATATTCTCCAGTGGGGGCTGTTTTACTGACCTGGTGCGGATAGACCCACCACGCACTAGTCACTATCTTCGAGTCCCAAGCCTGGCTTTGGCAAACCTGCAAACGGTAGAGATGCCGTATTATTACAAAATACATGCTGCTGAGGTCATTATTGATAAACTGGAAATGGTGATTTTCACTTACTGTATAACATCCTGCTTGGTTCAAGGTGAGAGGGGGAACTGGGACTTCAGGTTTGTGATTCTTGATCACAGTACTAGAAGCGCCATGGAGTTCTGCATGGACATACCTATTTCATGGAAACTAATATACATTAGAAAACTGCAAAACATCCATGATAACTGGTATCTAGCACAAAGGAAGATTGAAACAATCAATTGTATCACGTCAGAATCAGAATACTCAGAATACTGATAAATCCTTTTACAAGTATTGTAAACGAATTATCAATCTTTCAGTACTGCACTAGGTTAAAAAGCACAGAACTGTCCAAAGGACTCCACCAAGTAGAGAGACACAGTTGCCAAATGTAAAATAACTAATAAGATATTAAGATTCTTAGAATTTGATCATCTCAAGTTGCAACCTTTTGTTTACAACAGAAGCATCAATTTAATTACACAAGTAATGTAATCCAACATTATGTCGTCACATATATAAACATGACGAATACAACAACAACAACAACAACAACAACAACAACATAGCCTTTTAGTCCCAAGCAAGTTGGGGTAGGCTAAAGATGAAAACCAAGAGAACCAATGGTAAGAGAAACACAAAAAGGGCTCAAAACAAAAGGAAGAGATTGGAGCAAAAAGAGAAAGGAGCAAAAGTCACAGTACGAATACATACATAAATATATTCTTGTAAATACTTGGCAGAAAAAGACAGAAAAGGATGGTATGAAAAAAGTGACAAATTTACTTACAGGTCTCCTTTTGACATATAGCGTTTGACTATCATCTCATTTTGTTGAGCATCTCTTCCGCTGATAACTAGATAATTCTCGCTGCTTATGAACCAATTGAATTTTTCAAACCAGTGAACCTTGCGCATGTGTGTGATTGAGGCGACTGCTTTTTCCTGCAGCCCAAGTTTAACGAAATGCTTACAAGATAGAGCAACTACGCAAATATAACTCGGAAAAATAATAATTTTCAATATGATAACAAATATGATCAATCAAATGCCCCTTACAGACCATGCAAATCCTTTAGCATATCTAATGGAACAATAAACTGAAGCGTAAACTCAATGTCATTCTTACTCTGATGTAAGGTTTTTCCAAAGAAGCACATATATGCATATATTAAGTTCAGTTCAAGTCAAATGAATCACCAAACAGGCAAACACAAGCAAAAGAAGATAAAAAGAAGTCATTTCAATCAGTAATCTGGACCACTTGGAAATGTTTGCATCATGCTGATGCAAAAAGAAACACTTGTGCAAGTATTAGTTTCAATGACAAAATGGATGCATCATCATTTAAAGGTTAAAAAGGATACAAAGACCATTCAATTATTTAGTGACTTGATTAGCTCTTAAACAACTACACTTCATAATATAGTCCTTAGGCTACCTGTGAAAGTTGCTGGCGTGTTTTCCTCTCAGCAGCTTTGAATGCTTTCTCATGTGCTGTAACAGTTTTCTCCTGCTTGCTCTCTTGTTTCTTCTTCATTTCATAATATCGACGAGCATTAGCATGTGCAGAAAGCGCAAGATCAACTTCAACCTGAGAAAGACAATGCAAAATGATGATACGAAGCATTAAGTCTATTATTATGCTTATGTTTTCTTCACTTTTTTAGAAGAAAGGCTATCAAATGCAAATAAAAAATCATTTATGTCAACATAATCACATGTTGGTGAAAATGAGAATTTGTTAGTATGCATGCTTCTGAAAAACGTGAGGAACAGTGACGATAAGCATCACATTTATTCAGATATTCACTAAAGTTTCAATGCTAACAAAAATTGAATTTTACACATAGAAGGATGTTTGAAGAACTGTCTAATGCTTCAGTGCGTCGATACAAGACATATCCATTAAAACCTTTTATTAAGAGACTCCAATTTTGTTAACTACCTTGTCTACAGGCTGTGTCTTCTCCTCATCATCCATGTCATCAAGATTGTTGCTAAGGAGAAGTGTGATGCAATTTCTTTCCAGATGAAGCTTGTCAATGAGACCAGCGACAGGGTTTCCAGATTTTTTCTCCTCTTTCACCATACGAGCCAGGTCAACCCAGCTCATACCATTTGCAAGAGCCACACGGACTGCTAAGATGGCAGCATCTACGTCTTCTAAGTTGTATTCAATCAATTCTGCTTTTTTAATACTCTGCTCAACCTCTCTCTTTAGTGCATGCACACGGCTTTCCTGTGACACAGTGAAGTTTTTCCAACAAATGATGTGGATATTGACGAAATTGCCAGGTAGCCCGAAAAAGCAGGTGGAATGAGTTGTAGAAGAATAGACATGTTTAGTGCACTTAGAAATCACAAGATTTTTCATGTATTGAGTGTTTCTGGTTTCTGGTCTTTATTTTCATCATATAAGTAAGTAACTTTGATTACTGCCATAATTTATTAGGGGTTAATAACAGTGAGGTCTGAGCAAAAAGGGTCTTTTATTAGGCAAGGCTAAGGGAGTGTGTCTTGTACCTCACCATGAACATCGCAATAGCAAATTTAAACCTACAAGTCTCACTAGGCTAGCAAATACTTAAAGATTAGCCCAGTTGAGGAATTCCGTATATAGTAAATGCAGAGGATTGTATTTCCAAGATTTGGATGACCACAGAATTTGCATATGATGAACCTGATCTATTTTGATCTTGTCAAGTCTCTGCATGGCAGAATTTTCTTTAGCCTTCTGCTGTTGTTCAGAACGTTGACTTTCAATTTTACTATAGAATTCGTCCAACGCTGCATCAAATGTCTCAAACTGTACAGAATCTCTTGATTTGAACTGGTTCAGCAGCAGAGGGCAGAACTCATCATATATCTGCAGACGAAGAACATCCATAATAAAAAACAGCCGGAAGAAATAGATATCCACATTCCTTTCAAAGGACAATAAATAAATCAAACTGAAGAGGGTCATTGCAAAGACAACCTGCTCAGAAGTTCCCTTCTCAGACACAACACCATCCCGTTTACCCGAATTCTTTTGCTGCATCAAGATGTAACCCTCTGGAACTTTCTCACAAAAAATAACATCTGCTAGCCAGTCCTCAAACCTCAACACAGCTTCAGCCAGCAAATGGATGGTGTTATCATCCAAATTTATATCCTTACTGATTTTCGTACTTGGTATCAGACCAGCATCCAAAATAATGTGTTCAGACAACGCAGGTCCATAACCCAATGCTTCTCCAAGGACAACTTTCAAAGTTGCCTGCTTGGCACGAGCATTATCACTTTTCTTCGACTGACTAGGCTTCACATTTCTCTGGTTATCATGCTTCTGTGTCAGGGCATGATTACTATCATGTCCATGTTCACTGCCATCTAAATTATCATCTCTATGGACTTCCACCAACGATTGTAGGGCCACTGACATCTTTTCTCTAGTTGTACGCTCAAAGGTTCGAGATTGTTCGACTGGATATCGGTGCCGAGACATAATTGCAATCCCCTTATCGTCATCCCTTCCATTACAGAAACAATAAGTACCAAATACAACAACACAAGCCACAAAAGAAAGATTTGCAAAGCATCTGCTGCTTCCGATGAATAATCAGGCCATTGACGAATCTAAACATGCTAATTGATGCTAACAAACAAAAAAAGTATTGTGATCACCCACCTGTGAGAACGAAGGAGAGTCAAGACGGTGAACTCAGAATCTGTAAGAATAACATTCCCTTGGGCATAAAGCTCCAAGATGACATAGTGGGCATTAACACCCTGCCCGAATTGAAAGAGAATTATCTGCGTACAACATGGAATGTTCATTTTCAGGAAACCTATCTTTAAAATGACAAGTTTATGCTTGTTAAAAATTTAAAAGGCATAGCACACCCTATCATATCCAAGTTGCCGCACGTCCTCAAGCCTCCTCGTCCTAATGTGTTTCCTTAATTTCAAGGTAAAACCTGATGGAGTATTGCTTTTGTCCCTATACAAGAAATAGCATTCCATATTTAGCATATAGATATTCATTGCCCGCCATTGGTTCATATATAGGCTACAAACATAGTATACTAGAAGATACAGCCTGAAGTCCCAACACCCAAAGCACAAGACACATGACTCGCATCAAACAATGAACATATCATCTTTCAAGCCTATAATATATTTTATCCTCTGATCATATTGCTGTCACATTACAACTTACAGAAACAGTGACCCAGTTGGAAATCAACATGAGACACAAGTCCATTGAATACAATGGTTAGGGAATACAATAGAATTGCATTAAACATGAGGCGCAGAAGTTCTGTGAAACAAAAACTATTTGCTCCTCCCATAAGCCTCTTCAGTACTGAATGTATATCATAGTTGTACTGAGGAACTGTATGAGATATTCCCTAACGTCTTGAACAAATATGGTGCAAATGCAATGCAATAACACTCCTCGGATTGTACGTTTTTAGTCAGAAACATCAAATTTGTTTTGCTTCCTTAAATCGTAACTGAAGATATACCACCGAGTATAAAGCCCCTCCCCCCCAATCCCAAAAAAAGGGCCAAAAACTGGATTATTTTCCTTCAAAAATCTCCAAACATTACTTGCACACGCATATTGCACACAGCGATTGAAACTGAGTTCCAGAACCTCACCTCATATACTCTGTTGTATGCAACCTTACACCACTTTCCATCAACAGCAAAACCTTCTCACTCTCACCCGACTCCGTCACTCCACTGCTACTCATCAGCTTAAACACATACGTCTACAATAGAATTTCGACATGTTCAACATATCAAACAGTAATCATACTGAGGGACCAATTTACCCAAAAGATTTAGCTCAAATTTTCAGACAGAAAAAAAAATAAAAAAAAAAAACCTCATTATACAGACCTTCGGTGAGAGATCGTACACGTTGGAGCACCGCATACCGATCAAGCGGCGGAGGCACTTCACCTCAGCCGCCACGTCGGCTGTGTTCATCCGCACCTTCACCATCTCCTCTTCCTATGCAGTTTCTCCTTGCAAGCTGGGCGGAATACGTAACGTCGCAAAACACGAGATTTAGAAGATAAAATAGAATTAGGGCGTGAAAGGAGAAATGATAATACTGGGTTTTGGGCGCCAAACGAACCGAGCGGCGAGCGCTCGAGTCAAAGCTCGACTTGAGCTCGAGTTTGACCAAACTCTAGTCGAGCTCGAGCTTATATTTTGCCTTGTCGAGCGGCTCGAGATGCATATAAATTATTAAAATACCCCTTTATATATATATATATATATATATATATAT